CCCCCCGCCACCACGGGCAACCAACGCCACGGGCACCCAACAGCTGGGGAACCCACCACCAGGGGCAACAAAGACCATAGGCATCCACCACCATGGGCAACCAGGACCAGGGGCAACCACAACCACGGGCAGCCAGCACCGTGGGCAAGACTGTGGGCACTCACCACCATGGGCGCCCAAGACTATGGGCACTCACCACCATAGACACCCGCTCTCTCATGGACATCAACTACCCCAGGCAACCAGGACCACAGGCACCCACAACCAAAGGCACCCATCACCATGGGCAAACAGGACCATGGGCACCCACTAATGTTGGTGCTCATCGGTCCAGATATCTGCCCCTGTGGGCACACAGCACCCTTGCCACTCTTCAGCTGCACCTATGCCACCTCTTGCCAGCTATGACTCTGGCCTCTAACCAGGGTAGTGCCCCCCTGTTGCCACCTCCCCTGTCTCTGGCTTTTGCACCCCTTGCTCATGACCAGGTGCCCGTGACAGAGCCCAAATGCCAGCACTACTCCCACAGCCCATGTGCCCAAGTCCAAAGCTGTGCCCGAATGCCCACATGCCTGTGGCAGCGCCGATGTACCCGGTGCCTCTGGCAGTGCCCGGGTGCCCCATGCCCACCAGCTGCAGGGCCAGACTCGCTCACCACATGGTCTGGACGGAGATGGGCTTGAAGATGCGGGTCTGTCCCCCTGATGTCACACTGAAGCCCCTATGAGACATGGGGCTCAGGGTCATGTCCCCCATGCCACCCCCCTTGCCAGCCCCAGCTCTTACCCGTCACCATCGAGAAAGACCTGGGTGTCACTCCAGATGGGCAGCACCATGCCCAGGGTGCAGCTGGTGGCACTGCGGGCAGGCGCAGAGGTTTAACAGGGCCTCGCTGCCCCCTGTCCCGGTGTGCCAGTGCCCCCCGGCCCTGCTCACCCTTCATGTGGGAAGTCCATGCCCAGCAGCGCCGTCTCGCCCGCGGCGCCCACTTCCTCGGGCCACACCCCCAGCAGGTACCGCAGCCGCCGGGGTCGGCCAC